ATCGAACATGTCCGACACTGGCCAAGAAGTTGTCAAGCTCGTCTTCGATCTTCTTCAGCATTTTGATGTTTGCTGAGGCGTTGTCACACGCGATTCCGAGGACCTGGGAATACGGTATGTTCACATATGTTCGAGGCATTGAGATACAACCCACAGCTTACCTTTTTGTCTATTCCAAACTCCCGCAGGACACGGACGAACTCCCGAGCAAGCGTCGTCCCAGTGTGACTCTGGTGCGGCAATGTGTCAGCTCTCGTCCCGAGCAGGCCGTTCCACAGGCGGTACGTACCTCGGCGATCTCTATAGCATCAAGCAGCGCGCTAACTGGCTTATCTTTGTGAATGAAGTACACGACAATGGCCATGTATGGCCGTCCGTTTGGTGCGGTCCAGCAGTCGGTCGAGAAACTAAGACGGCCTGGATATTTCTAGAAGGGGATAATGTAAGCGTCTTCATTCATGACTACAGCAATTAACGGATACGTTACACGCAGGAGCTTCCGCATTGTTGACCGAGATCCTGCAAATACGGACTTTACGTCACGGGCAACAGTCGTCGCAGACGGCACTTTGTAGTTCGGACGTCCGGTCTTCAGCAAGGTAAGTAGGTGGCGATCTTTGACAATGTTGTATGGTCTTGACGACTCCGCAACCCAGCGCACTATCAAAATACTACCAAACAACAATCATCAGCACTGATTCTCGGCACGACGAAGGTGCAAGCACACACCGGACTTCTGCGTTTGTGTGCTGCCGGTTGGAGTACGTCACCGGTCCCTTCGCACCGTCTGCGCGCTCGAATATGACACTGATGTCCCCGCTCCGGGCCTTCGACTTCAACAGCTTCTGACGTGTGTCGTCAACAGGGAGCTGCGTGGCCAAGAGGTTGTCGACTGCTTCCTGCCCCCAGCACCAGATCACATGCTTCTGGAGCGAACCGGTAGACGACGAGTCACCGGTATGAAGATATCGGCGCTTTTCTGGGGACTTGCAGCCCCTTCCCTTCATGAGACACGAGAAGACGTGGCAGCGCTTCCCCGTTGAGTCGTCAATGCGGGGGCGCTTCTCATAGAAGGCATAATAGGGTGAGGTCCACTTCACCACCATCCTATCTGTTACGCAGTTGTTAACCAAACTTGAGTCATACTAGTGCTGCGGTGCTGTGGAGCTTACCAAGTTCCTTCTCACCACTTGGATCGTCGTTATCACTATCCGAGTCCGAGATCTCCACCGCGTCGTCGTGCCCTGTTGCAACCTTCACAGCCCGTGCGGTCGAGCTGGTTGTGGTGCGCGCGGTCAAGCCCGGCGTCTTGGTGCGCGCGGTCGAGCCTGGTGGCTTCGTGTGCGTGGCTGAGCCCGGTGTCGCGGTGCGCACGGTCGGTGTCTTGGTGTGCATGGCCGCACCGGTTGTGGTTCGCGGCATGGTCGAGTCCGTCGCGGTGCACGGCACGGTCGAGTCCGTCGCGGTGCACGGCACGGTCGAGTCCGTCGCGGTGCGCGGCACGGTCGAGTCCATCGCAGTGCGCGCGGTCGAGCTGGGCAGCGCAGCGCGCGTGGTTGAGCCCGGTGTCGCGGCGCGCACGGTCGAGCCCAGTGTCGCAGTGCGCGTGGTCGAGCCTGTTGCACCGCGCGCAGGGTCTGTCGTTGCGGGGCGCGTGGCCGAGTCTATTGTGCGCGAAGTCGAGTCCTTTGCGTGCTTCGTCTTGACCCTAGGACGAGCTGCTGGGACGCGTTTGCCACCTGCGACACGAGCGGGGCCAATGCTTGGAATGAACACGGTCTCAGGTGAGGCCTCATTTGCAGCTGTTTTTGACAAGTCATTTACGGTTTTGACTGCACAGATGCGAAGGTGTCCGCAAAAAATGGAGTGACAGGCATACCTTCAGAGGTGAGTCTTGTTGACATCTCCATTATATCGCCCTCTTTTGACTCTTTCAGGCGCTTTGAAGGGATACGGGCACGCTTTGCCCCTTCAGGCAGGACCTCATTTGCAGGAGAGGCAGCCCTTTTTTGACCCGATGGAGGATTCACTGGAGTGGTGGGAGAGGACATAGCACGAAGTGGTACAAAGGGCTGCGGACAGTTTACAACGGATCTCACTTGCACGCACGGCGTGTCTGGCCTCCAGCCACCCTTACTAAGCAACTGTATAGCTAGTGGCGTTCGGCCCGACGCGTCAGCCTCAGGTGCGGTGCTAGCCGCCCAACCAGGGTGTTCAGTAGCCTCACGGGTGCCAAGGGTCCGCGGGTCCCGAGGATGAGACCCGCACCCGCACCCGTGGTACCCGGACCCGGGAACCCGCACGGGTCACCCGGACCCTTGGTGATCCCTACCTTCGACGCAAGGCCATGGCTCAGCTCCCAGCCTGCGTGTGACACGATGCTCCCCACCAGACTAGCCTTTGGCGTCGCAGGGCAGAACTTGTAACCGGAGGCAGTGACGTGTGCGAGTTCGAAGCGGAACAGGACTCGGTCGAGCGTCGTGCAGTACTCGTAGATGAAACGCCGCACAGAGGAGGATGGGTCGATGAGTGCGTTGTCGTAGGTCGTGGGTGGGCCTTTGACTCCGCAGTCGTCGACGAAGATGTCGGCGAACTTGGGGATCTCATCTGCGAGGATGTGGCGGGTGCAACGTACGAAATCCGCGACCGCGTTGGTAGCGCCCTGCGGTAGCACAGTACAACGTCCAGTGACCTCCATGCACTGGAAGGTGGTGAGGTCCCGGGATCGCACGTCCAGTGTCCGCGCGTCGTAGCCCGAGAAGAGGTCGATGACACCATAGCAAGAGAACCCAGCGAAACTTTCAGCAAAGTCGTCGGGGCGCGGAGGCAGGGCCGCATCGCGGATAGTGACCGCATTAAGGGCTTGAAGATCGTGGACGACACGGAGGGCACCGTTCTTCTTGCTGACAGCGAATACGCGCGAACGGTAAGAGGAACAGGAGCTTTCGTACTTGCCAGAGTTGAAATTCGAGGTCAGAATCGCGCGAACTTCGTCTTCTGCGGCTTTGGGGACCGGGATTGGCTTCTGCGCCCAGGGTGTGTGCTCGATGACCGGTATGACGTAGTCGGGGAAGTATTCCCGGTTGAACGTCCCACGCTCCGCATCCGTGAAGGCGAGTGCTGCGCGGCGACTGCCGATGATGTAGGCGATGAGGTCAAGCTCCGCTGCGTGGAGGAAGCCGTCAGGGATGGTGGACATGATGGTCTCGAGGCGTTCTTGGGTGAGGCGTTCACAGGGGACGAAGGAGCCACGGGGAGGCGGGTGTATGGGGAGAGGTGGTAGATCCGGAACAGGCAGAGGCTTGAACGTTTGTGCGGAGAGGTCTGGCATCGTCGTCGGGACTGGGCGGACTTTACGGGCAACGGGTTTGTACCGGCGAACAGGTGTGGCGAAGCGGGTGGTTGATGGGGCCAAAAGCGCACGAGACACAAAAACAGAAGGGACAGGACGCAGCGGGAGATCAAAGGCACACTCGACAGTGCGCAGAAGATGATCAAAGGAAGGAGGGGGGTTGAACGATGAGATGTATGAGTCGTTGAAAGAGTCCGTGTGGAAGGAAGGATGTCCGAGAAGAGTACGAAGGGTGCGACCAAAACAAGGTAGCGAGGGCGGTGCCGCACCGGTTGAATCCGCGCCCGCTAGTGAAAAGACGCTGTCGGAACCGTCAGGGAGTCCGATGTGAACACGAGACGATCAGTGTTGCGGGAGTTGTTCGCCGTGCATAGCTGAACCGTCACAGCAACGCCAGAAGTCGATCCAGTGGGGTACGCTGTCATGTAGGGATCACCAAGGGTCCGGGTGACCCGTGCGGGTTCCCGGGTCCGGGTACCACGGGTGCGGGTGCGGGTCTCATCCTCGGGACCCGCGGACCCTTGGCACCCGTGAGGCTACTGAACACCCTGGTTGGGCGGCTAGCACCGCACCTGAGGCTGACGCGTCGGGCCGAACGCCACTAGCTATACAGTTGCTTAGTAAGGGTGGCTGGAGGCCAGACACGCCGTGCGTGCAAGTGAGATCCGTTGTAAACTGTCCGCAGCCCTTTGTACCACTTCGTGCTATGTCCTCTCCCACCACTCCAGTGAATCCTCCATCGGGTCAAAAAAGGGCTGCCTCTCCTGCAAATGAGGTCCTGCCTGAAGGGGCAAAGCGTGCCCGTATCCCTTCAAAGCGCCTGAAAGAGTCAAAAGAGGGCGATATAATGGAGATGTCAACAAGACTCACCTCTGAAGGTATGCCTGTCACTCCATTTTTTGCGGACACCTTCGCATCTGTGCAGTCAAAACCGTAAATGACTTGTCAAAAACAGCTGCAAATGAGGCCTCACCTGAGACCGTGTTCATTCCAAGCATTGGCCCCGCTCGTGTCGCAGGTGGCAAACGCGTCCCAGCAGCTCGTCCTAGGGTCAAGACGAAGCACGCAAAGGACTCGACTTCGCGCACAATAGACTCGGCCACGCGCCCCGCAACGACAGACCCTGCGCGCGGTGCAACAGGCTCGACCACGCGCACTGCGACACTGGGCTCGACCGTGCGCGCCGCGACACCGGGCTCAACCACGCGCGCTGCGCTGCCCAGCTCGACCGCGCGCACTGCGATGGACTCGACCGTGCCGCGCACCGCGACGGACTCGACCGTGCCGTGCACCGCGACGGACTCGACCGTGCCGTGCACCGCGACGGACTCGACCATGCCGCGAACCACAACCGGTGCGGCCATGCACACCAAGACACCGACCGTGCGCACCGCGACACCGGGCTCAGCCACGCACACGAAGCCACCAGGCTCGACCGCGCGCACCAAGACGCCGGGCTTGACCGCGCGCACCACAACCAGCTCGACCGCACGGGCTGTGAAGGTTGCAACAGGGCACGACGACGCGGTGGAGATCTCGGACTCGGATAGTGATAACGACGATCCAAGTGGTGAGAAGGAACTTGGTAAGCTCCACAGCACCGCAGCACTAGTATGACTCAAGTTTGGTTAACAACTGCGTAACAGATAGGATGGTGGTGAAGTGGACCTCACCCTATTATGCCTTCTATGAGAAGCGCCCCCGCATTGACGACTCAACGGGGAAGCGCTGCCACGTCTTCTCGTGTCTCATGAAGGGAAGGGGCTGCAAGTCCCCAGAAAAGCGCCGATATCTTCATACCGGTGACTCGTCGTCTACCGGTTCGCTCCAGAAGCATGTGATCTGGTGCTGGGGGCAGGAAGCAGTCGACAACCTCTTGGCCACGCAGCTCCCTGTTGACGACACACGTCAGAAGCTGTTGAAGTCGAAGGCCCGGAGCGGGGACATCAGTGTCATATTCGAGCGCGCAGACGGTGCGAAGGGACCGGTGACGTACTCCAACCGGCAGCACACAAACGCAGAAGTCCGGTGTGTGCTTGCACCTTCGTCGTGCCGAGAATCAGTGCTGATGATTGTTGTTTGGTAGTATTTTGATAGTGCGCTGGGTTGCGGAGTCGTCAAGACCATACAACATTGTCAAAGATCGCCACCTACTTACCTTGCTGAAGACCGGACGTCCGAACTACAAAGTGCCGTCTGCGACGACTGTTGCCCGTGACGTAAAGTCCGTATTTGCAGGATCTCGGTCAACAATGCGGAAGCTCCTGCGTGTAACGTATCCGTTAATTGCTGTAGTCATGAATGAAGACGCTTACATTATCCCCTTCTAGAAATATCCAGGCCGTCTTAGTTTCTCGACCGACTGCTGGACCGCACCAAACGGACGGCCATACATGGCCATTGTCGTGTACTTCATTCACAAAGATAAGCCAGTTAGCGCGCTGCTTGATGCTATAGAGATCGCCGAGGTACGTACCGCCTGTGGAACGGCCTGCTCGGGACGAGAGCTGACACATTGCCGCACCAGAGTCACACTGGGACGACGCTTGCTCGGGAGTTCGTCCGTGTCCTGCGGGAGTTTGGAATAGACAAAAAGGTAAGCTGTGGGTTGTATCTCAATGCCTCGAACATATGTGAACATACCGTATTCCCAGGTCCTCGGAATCGCGTGTGACAACGCCTCAGCAAACATCAAAATGCTGAAGAAGATCGAAGACGAGCTTGACAACTTCTTGGCCAGTGTCGGACATGTTCGATGCTTTGGGCATGTGATCCAGCTAGTCAGCTTCGCGCTCCTGAAGCACTTCAATGGCCTGAAGGACACAGAGGGTTCTGACGACTCACTGGGTAGCGCAGGCACAGGCACTGAGGGCGTCACAGCTGCCGGCGGTGCGTCGTCCGAGATCGAGGATGTGGCCCCAGGTGAAGGTGCTGAGCCTGGGATGGAGGATCCCAGTCTTGACGATCCTGCAGCGCCTCTGTATGGTGGGAACGAAGACGACTGGGTGGACGATACTGGAATGATGACGGAGGAGGAGATGGAGGAGTTTCTTGAGAATGTTGCACCTGTCCGGGAGACACTAACCAAGGTCGGTGTTAAACCATCCTCACCAGAGAACGAACTCACCTTAATCCCATTGCCCTCAGCTTCGCACCATCGCCGTCAAGATTAAGGCGTCGCCGACTGTGTTGATGCCTGCATGGAACAGGCTGTTAGCGCAGCTCGCGCTCAAGGCGCGGGTCATCCCAATCGACGTCTGCACGCAGTGGAACTCCACACTTACCTTGGTTCATGCAGCTGTTGAGCTGCGCATGCCTATCACCGTTTTCTGTGCGTCGGACGAGGGGAGCGATGCGCTGGGTGCGTTTGCGCTGACGCCGCGTGAATGGCTCATTGCGGAGCAGCTCATTGACGCTCTGAAGGTGTGAACCTTGTTTTGACAGCTGTATAGTCCGTACTCACGCTGCGCGCTGCCACTTGCTGCCCCATTCCGACCCCTTTCACACCGCTCTCCGCTCCTCCATCTCCTTCTGCTATACTCCTACGCTCCCTCTAGATCTTCAAGGATGCGACCGAATTCTTCTCTCGCGACACACCAAACCTGGCCCTCGTTATCCCGGTCATGGACAAGATTGATCAGGCCCTGACCACCAAGCACCTCCCGGGCAGCCTGTTCCGCGGCGGTATCCCCTACGACCCCGCCATTCATGCCGCGTTCGGCTTCGCCAAGCAGATGCTGAACAAGTACTATGAACTCACCGACTCTGTTGAAGCTTACCGCATCGCTATGGGTGAGTTTTTCGCTTCGCTTTTGCATATCGTGCTGAGGTTGAACCCGCATCTTCAGTTCTCCACCCTGCATATAAGCTCGAGTACTTCGAGACGCTGAAGTGGGAGCCGGCCTGGATCGAGACGGCAAAAGAGCTCGTGCGCAACGAGTTCGACGTCTCCTACAGTGGCAACTCTGAGGATGACGACAACAACCCAGTGGAGGAACTTCCCAAGGCGAAGCCAGTACGTCACTATTTGTCCTTTTCACTCCTCAGTGTCGCCCACACGAGACGTTGAACATTTCCAGCGCGACAGCTACAACACGAACATCTTCGACACCATTTCATTCATGCCCAGCAGACCTACGAAGTCCACGACCTCTGGTGCTACCCGTGACGAGCTGACACGGTACCTTGCCATGCCGTGCGAGGACGAGGGGACAGACCCTATCCAGTGGTGGCAAGACAACGCGAGCCGGTTCCCCCGTCTCAGCCGGATGGCCCTCGACTATCTCACTATCCCAGGTATGTTTCTTTGTCGTCCCCTCATCCCGCATTGATACTTACTTTGATGTCCCCACAGCTACCTCTATCGATGTCGAACGTGTCTTCAGCCGCGGCCGGCACCTCATTCCCTACACACGCAACCGCATGTCTGCACAGACAACGCGTGCGCTGCTGTGTCTCGGGGCGTGGTCACGGCTTGAAATAATCGACAAGAACGTCATGAAGGATATAGGCAAGCTTGAGGTTATCGACGAGTCGGGCGACGACTACGAGATGGATGATGAATGGGACCGCATTGACGCATCGGACGATGAGATGTCGGACTAGAATAAGTACATGTACGTATACCACTCAGTACCCCTCATGCACACCATCTCGCCCGCACCGTCTCCCTTGTGCAGTCTCCCCTGTGCCGTCTCTCTCACGCCATCTCCGATCACCCACACCGTCTCGCCCACACCGTCTCCCAACGTCTCTTGCCCATGCCATCTCGCCCATGCCGTCTCCCTTGCGCAGTCTCCCTTGCACCGTCTCGCCCATGCCGTCTCTCGCACTGTCTCTCGCCCGCACTGTCTCCCACCATCTCCCTCGCGCAGTCTCTCGCCCACACTGTCTTGCCCACACCGTCTCCCACCGTCTCTTGCCGTCTCTCGCCGTCTCTCGTCCACGCCTTCTTGTCCACACCTTCTTGCTCACGCTGTCTTGCCTGCACCATCTCGCCTGCACCGCCTCTCGCCGTTTCTCGCCCTGCCATCTCTCTCACCCGTGTCATCTCTCCCGCACTGGAGTCTCGCCCACGCCGTCTCCCTCGCGCCGTCTCTCGCACTGTCTCCCTCGCGCCGTCTCTCACCCGCATTGTCTCGCCTGCACCGTCTCTCGCCCACTCCTTCTCGCCCGCACCTTCTCGCCCACGCCGTCTCCCTCGCACCGTCTCGCCTGCACCGTCTTGCCTGCACCGTCTCGCCTGTGCCGTCTCTCACCCGCATCGTCTCACCCACACCGTCTCTCGCCCACTCCTTCTCGCCCGCACCTTCTTGCCCGCGCCGTCTCCCCTCTCCCGTGCGCCATCTCCCTCGCACCATCTCCCTCGCACCATCTCCCTCACGCCATCTCGCCCGTGCTGTCTCTTGCGCCATCTCTCGCGCCTGCGCCTTCTCACCCGCACTGTCTCACCCGCACCGTCTCTCACTGTCTCTCCGTCTCTCGCCCACGCCTTCTCGCCTGCACCATCTCGCTCGCACCGTCTCGCTATCTCGCCCGCACCGTCTGCACCGTCTCGCTCGCGTATTCTTGCCCGCGCCATCTCGCTCGTGCTCTCTCGCACCCACGCCATCTCTCACCTGTGACGCCTTCTCGCCCTGCCTTCAACTCGCCCGCACCGTCTCGCCCACACCGTCATTCGCCCACGCCGTATCCCGTGGGGGAGGGATCGCCCGCGCCGTCCGCTCGCCCACGCTGTCTCCCGTCTCCCATGCGCCATTTCCCTCGCACGCACCGTCTCGCCCGCGCCGTCTCGCATGCACTGCACTCTTGCGTGCAATGGCACCTCACAAGTCACTGCTGCCACCACGGCCTAGGCCTGTTCACCCGCGGGTGTCCGCCACGGGTGCACACCCGTGAGATACCCTTCCGACCCGTGTGGATGGTGACCCTCGGGTCCACGGGTGCGGGCATGCACGGGTACGGGTGCGGGTCGAGTCAGAATCACCCGAGGGTCACCCGTGGTGAACCCTAGGACTCGAAGGTACTCAAATGGCCGTACCCGGAGTCTCTTACCGACGTGCGCAGTTTCCTCGGGGTTGCCGGCGTCGGACGGCGATGGATCCCCAATTTCGCGCTCATCGCTAAGCCACTGACGCTACTGCTTCGATCAAACCCCGCCGACCGCTTCACGCTGTCTCCCGAAGCTCGCGGCGCCGTGGACTCCCTCAAGAAGCTCGTGTCATCGGCACCTGTGCTGCGGCCCATCGATTACCCTGCAGCGCTGGCTATCACCCGCGAAGAAGTGGACAGCGGCGAGCGCGAAGGGCGGCATCGAGGGGCTGGTCGTACTCTTTGTCGATTCCTCACTCCACGGAGCCGGATGGGTCCTCGCCCAGTATCACGATGGTCAGCTTCATCCTGCACTCTATGGCGGCTGCACGTTCTCGGCGGCCGAATCGCAGTACTCCCAGCCCAAGTGCGAGCTCTACGGCTGCTTCCGGTCTGTCAAGGAGCTACGTCACCGACTATGGGGCCTGCACTTCCTTTTGCGAGGCGACGCGCAGTTCCTTTCTCAGATGCTGTCAGAACCGGACTTGCCGAATGCGCCGATGACGCGGTGGGTGGCTTACCTGACATCAGGAAAACCCCAAAATGCTAATTAGGACTAAGGGCAGTAAATTACTCCTAATGGGACGTCTAATCGGGCTAACAGAATCAGGCGATCTATTTGTGACTAATGTGTGATAGTTTGGTACTAGCAATGTGGTGGATCATCTATTCTCAGTAATTCTAGCAGCTCTCCCACTAATTGATGTAATCGACTCGTATCGGATCACATGTGTCACTAATTTGAACCTCAAACAAATATATTGCAACTAACTATAGTAACATTGAAGGAATCAGTAACAACATAGACTGTGTAGGCGACACAGGAGATGAGGGCAATGCGGAGGAAAGAAGGGGGTGATGCAGGCGACGTGAGCGATGTGGGAGACGCGGGAGACGTGAGAGACGCGGGAGACGTGGGAGACGCGGGAGACGTGGGAGACGCGAGAGACACAGTCGAGATGGGCGAGGTAGGCAGGCAAGGTAGGTGAACAAGGTGGGCAACGTGGGATGAAGAACGTGGGATGAAATGTATGCAGTAACAATGATAACACAACAGGAGGGAGTGCTGAGAGAGCACGAGACATAGATATGAGCACAGATAGGGTATGGGGGACGGTTGGCCGTCTCAAGCTGGAACAACGAGCAGAGGCGAGCAAGGCAACCATGATACGGGTGGGAGGGAGGTAGGGCAACGTCTGTTTGTCTGACCGTCCGTCGGCGATTGCGAAGGGGAGGTAGGGCCGACGGCGCACCTTTTTCGTCCTCAGTTGCCCCACCCCGCACTACCTGTACGTGCTCCAAATGTCCCGCACATGTCCGCTCCCAGCAGGGATATCCTCCTTAGTCGACCAGAACAAGTCGAGCTTGATGACTACCCTGTGCAGTCCTGCAAGCGGCATCATGGTGAGCGGGTTGAGCCGCGTCGAGGTCTTGCGGAGGATCTTCGTGAGCGCGGGCAAAAGCGGGAGCGCAGGGGAGAGGGTGCCTCGGGCGCGGCGCAGAACGCGCGGTAGTCGGCTGCCGATAGGGCAGCCAGCCTACGGCAAGGTAGATGAGGACACCGATCCATGCCTCGGTGCCTTCTGCGCCGCACCCGAGGCGTCATAGTAATGACCTCAGCGTGTTGAGAGCACTCTGTCAGAACGATCGAAGGCTCGGGCACGAAAGAAACTCACCGGGACACAAGAACTGCGGTATTCCCCACCCGAACTCATATGTGTACAGCTAGTGTTCGCGAGCCTGAAACGTAGTGGGAATCACAGGTTAGTCGGTCTCGCGCTGGGTTCGACGTGGAACGGAGGGGTGCTCACCGTAAACATAGGTGACGTAAGGGCAACCGCGGGTGATGCGGGGGCGAGACGTGGGCGAACGCAGGTGACACTGACATCGGACTGCGGGCTCGAGAGCACGTGGCCATCCCTGAACTCGTTGTCGTCATCGTCATCGTCGCGCGGTCGGGCGATGGCAGGTGAAAGGCGAGGATTTGGGGCTCGGGTGACGGCAGGTGCACGGCAAGGATGAGGCTCGCGCGGTCGAGGGACGCTTCTCGCCGTCCATGCGGAGCAGCGATGCCGTCCTAGACAGTCCTCGCAAGCGCATCAGTGGGGCAGGGGGCGGAGGGGTGTGCGCGGGCTCCATGTCTGTGGCAGAAGGGGCGGAGTGGTGGGAATGGAGGGACGTGCTACAGAGCACACGCGGGGTTGCGAGGCGTGGAGCGGCCGCCGCGAGCTCCGAGCTATGGGTGGTCCAGCGGGCGGGTGGGCGACATGCGCATGCTCGGGGAAGATGTGAGGAGTGCCCGGAGGAGCCGCTCGGCTGTGTGTTCGGGGGGTCGGCTCGCGTGGCGAGGAAGAGGGAGGGGACACGCACACTGCTCGCTCACGTCGTGCTTGTACAGGAGCACATTCCACCCAGAGCGGATTATGATGATAGTTAGAATTTCCATGATCGGCGGGTCTGCGCTGAACGGGGTGCCCTGGTCAGCGCGCGGCCGGCGTTGATGATCGATCCTGGCGCCTGGACGGAGGTACATGGCAATGACGAGCACACCAATGTGTGGGCGAGACGAGGGCGACACAGCGACGCGGGTGATGAGGATTGTCGCGATGTGGCAATTGTCGGGTGCGCATGCCTGGACGATGAGCCGGTTCCCCTTCGGCCAAATCCCGAGCTTGTTGCGCACGACGGTAAGTGACTGGAAGAGTGAGTTGCGCACGGCATCGAAGATAGGTGGCAGAGTGGGAACGTGGGGTCGAGCCGCATGGACGGTGTTGTTGATGATTGACAGGGGAGGGAGCAAGCTTGAGATCGAGGGCCTTGGGGGGTAGGTGGCGTCGCAATCCCGACGGACGGCGCGCAGAACTTCGCACGGGGAGCGGAGAACGCACTGTGAATAGTGCAGGTTAGATCGGGGATATCGATGGACAGATACGAGCAGGGTACGCACGCAGACTGCGCCCAGACTCGTTGTAATCGAGATGGGGAATGTAGGTGAAGCGCCATGGCGAGGATTATTCCGGTATACACGAGTGTCGTAAACATGAGGAAAAGGATCACGGTCTGCAGGCAGAAGATGAGGATCTTGGTGTTGCGCTGCGCACCCAGGTGAGCTGCCGCCTGCGTGTCCAACGACGCATACACTCACCTCTCTCAGCAGTCTCCGCTTCGGGAGCCCCTCCTCCAGTGCCCACTTCCACGCACCCTGGCTTTTCGGCCCCAGCACCATGTCCCGCACCGTCTGGCCCTCCCCGTCCTTTGCGTGCACGTCCGAGCCGACCTCGACGAGCTTGCGGATGCACAGTTGGTTCCCGCGCACAACCGCCCAGTGCAGCGGCGTGAGCCCAGTGTCGTCCTTGGTGTTCGTGCTCGCCCTGTGCTTGAGCAGCAGCTCGACCGAGAGCGTGTCGCCCTGGTACGCAGCCTACATGAGCGAGATGTGGCCCTGGAAGTCGTGTGCGTCGACGTTGATCGGCTGGTGGAGAGCTTGTAGAGCAGCACCATGACGGACGAGGAGTGTGTGACAAGGTGGAGGGTGTAGTCCCTCCGCGTTTCTGTGATCTTGGGGGTGGTGTTGTGGGCGATGAGCAACTGGCTGCGATGATGTAGAGGTAGCCCATGCGGGCGGCCCACTTCACGGGCGTCGCGACGACTCAGTCGCCGCCGAGTGTGTCGACCTCGGCACCCTGGTCAACGAGGTAGCGGCCTGTGACGAGCTGGGTATTGATTGCGGCCCAGTGGAGGGTTGTGATGTTCTGGTCGTCACGATCAGTGGCGGAGGCCTTGCCGGAGACATCGCCCTGCTGGGCGGCCACAAGAATGTTCAACTCTTTGCGCGTCGGCGCAGACACGGACGGGATCGACGACCTGGACAGTGGGGCGAAGGTGGACTCGGGGGAGCATGCTGCCGACTTGTCGAGGGTGTCGGGGAGGTGAGGGCCTCGGTTTCTGCGGGAGACGACATGCATGAGATCGATGAGATGGCACGAGGGACCGAGGTACGAGCATGTGCGACGCAAAGACGGTGGGGAAAGAGTACTGACTATGATCCAGCCGTGGAGGCTCACCTTGCCGGGCAGGATATAGAACTTGATATCGTGCTACCACACTGGCATGAGAATCGCCTCGTCGAGCACGTCGTCCACCTTGAGGATCCGCCGCATCGGTGCCTGTGGTACTGGTGCTGGTTTTCGTGCTCGTGTTCGTGCTTGCCCCGGCCCACCGCGAGATGTGCTTTTGCCAGTGGCGAGGATTCGGCGATGCCAGAAACCATCCACCGGCTAGCTATCGCCGTGGGCCTTGCCCGTGCCCTCTTCTTCAACCTCGCCCTCATCTTCATATGCCCAGGAGGAGAGCCCAGGTGCAGCGAATTTTGCGTCCCAGGAGGTGTCAGAGGCCGGGTACGGTGAGGCAGGGATCTCTGAGCCTTGAGGTGACCTGAGCGAGAGCGGTGCTGGATGGACGGAATGGTGCAGCCTTCAAGGGTGACAGAGGGTTGGTAATTCCTTTGCAGGGTGTTTGGGGCCTGGACGATGTGGTTGTGGACTGTGCAGCCGAGATATAGGGAGGGCGGACGGTGGGAGGAGGCAAGATATGTGGCGCTTGTGGACTTTCCCGTCTCCGCGAGTCCGAAGGCCTTGCATAGCTTCCCACCGTCGCGCATTTCAGCAGCCGCAGACATTAGAGTACTTGAAAAATAGTATTATATTAGAGTCATGTACATGTGCATGTCACTGAACGGGTTAACAAAGAATGTGTCACATGAATCGAGCACAGTACTACTGGTCCATGCACGAGAGTTCTCGGGAGAGGGGAATACAGGAAGTAGATGGCAACTTCGTCGGATAGTGGACATCTCCACAACACTTGCAAGGCGATCCCCATTGGGCCCTCGGCATCTGGTCACACGGTACATGCCATGTGTAGCATCAGTGTTCGTGAAAGCAGTAAACCACTCAATGTACGTGAGGTGTCTGGGAGGCATAACACCGGGAAACAGGGATTTGTTCGCATTCTGCGGAAGGGTGAACACCATGCGAAGTCGCCCGACCCGATACCCTAAACGATGTGGATGACAGTCAGCGCTGAACGGACTTGGAGAAGGCGTCGCAGAACACACCATGAACACCGATACGACGGCCGGCACCCGTCTCGTTCACCAGAACGGTATCGAATCTACTTGGCACGACATTTCCGCGCTTGTCGGTGTACCGAGGACGAGCGTGAGCCGCATCGTGGAGGCCCTCCATGATTCCCATCGCCTGAGCGTCCGAGAGAACAAACTTGAGTTTGTGATATGCCGAAACTTTGTTGAAGGGAAGATAGACGTTCCATGAACGTTGCTCAACCTCGGCCGTGGATAGTGTAGGGTTGTTGAACTGAATGACAAACCGGGCGAGAGCCTCGCGGAGATACTCGGCCCCGTACTCCTGTGCTGCAGAGGAGAACGTGACCGAATATGCACTTGGCCACTTTGGCGGGTGAATGGCTGAGAGTGTCCGCCAGTCATTGTCGTCGGCAAACGGGGAAGGGAATGCGGGGGAGCAGGGTTCCGAAGAGGAGTGTTTGACGACAACGACGAATGTAAGGACCGTTCTACGATATTGTTGAGACGCCATGCGACAAACGCGGCATGCCGATGCATCTTCTCCTTGCGTTCGAGCCAGAGAGTCATCTGGAGGTACTCGTCCTTGCGGTTAGTGGCACGATAGGCGTCCTTGGCGAGATCGATGTGGAGCCTTTCGGTGTACTGAGTATCGTAGTTATCTGTCGTGCCGAAAAGCTGAATCGAGTCGGGATAGTGGTCGAGTGAGTGGAGTTTGGGAGTTTGAAGTGGGCACGTATACCTAGAACGACGAAGATGTCCTTGTTTAGGTGAAATCGTCGAAGGGTGTCCTTCAAGAGTTTGAGACTTGCCGATGTGTGAGCTGGGTACTGAGCGAGATAAAGGAAATCCAAAGCAGCACGGACTGCTTGGACAAGGCGAATGGGGGAGAAGCCGTCTCGTAGAGGAAGACCGGCAACGAGCCCGAGAAGGATGCGGCACATAGCCGCGTGCTCCTTCCCAGTGACTCGTTGGAGCGAGCTAATGCCCTTCATGAAAATACGGATTTGGTGGTTTGGGGGGAGGCGACGGCACCGAGCATCAATCTCGCTCGTGCCGTATGCCAACTTGACCCATGCCACGACGTGCTTGATGACACCTTGGTGCAGTTGGTGGAGGATGTCGGGAGTGATGGAGCGAAAGATGTTGACGAACGGGAGATGCAGCCAGTAAGGCTCCGCAACGGGCTTGATGCGTGCCGCCGCACAGGCCTTGACGAACTCGGCCTTCGTGCCAGTTTCGGCCACAGACAGTGCCTCGACGACCTTTGTGACGTCACGGAAAGGGCGGTTGGGATCGGTCGTAGCCCCGACATCTTCACGGTCAATATCGCAACGCGGGCAGTCGCCGCTCTTGCAGCAGCTGGCGAGAAGTTGTTCCGGGTAGTCTCCAGCATGGATGGCAAGGATTGGATGGCCACGCCACATGACGCCGTCGCCACTTGCAAGGTTGATGCCTTCCAGGCCGGCGCGACGAAGAGGGCGGAAAATGTGCGTCATAAAGGCATGGAAGAGGTTGGAATGAGTGCGTCGCCGAGCCGCCTTGCAAGTGATGTTCTCGAGCCGTGTCGAGGGGAGATATGCGAGGAGAATTTGGCCGCGACGCGATGGCTTGCGGCGAATGTGCTTCGGGAGGTTACCAATGGTGAGATAGACGGGATAGGCAGTCTTGTTCCCGAAGACTGTAAGTTGTGTCTTGTCAGATGAGACGATGATTGGGATGATCGTCCCTCCTGGTGCAAGTCGTTCAACGGCTTCCTGTAAAGAAGAATATCATGAGCAAGATTCCACCATAAATCAATTGCCGCAGGTCGCCGCACCTGTGTAGACCACCACCACTTGCCTGTGTGCATGTCGAAGAAGACTCGCAGGGTGTGATCGGCATCGGCGTAGTGACGTTCTGGCCGGAACACCAGGACACCAGAGAACTCCGGGTCACCGAAGAGTGCGCGGATGCACTCGAGGACGTCACGGTAGAAGAACTCGAAGACCTCGTCTGTGACGAGGATTTCTCTGCGAATGAAACGTGGCCGAAGGGAGGTAAGCTTTTCGTCGATGATTTGGTTGAGTTCTCGGGAGTTCTTGAACGAGAGCCCTAGTAGTTTGACAAGCTGAATAAGAACACCAGCTTGTCGTCAATAGATAATACGGAGAACAAAGTTAAATGAGCTCACATTCTCGATCGCCAAAAGCTCTGTGAGTGCCGTAGATCCAGGGCCACGCATTTTCGCCCACATAGCCACCGAGAAGTCGAGCGAAGAACAGAAGGGGGCGTAGGGGTTGTTGGGGGATCCAAGCGAGTCGCGAGTAGCCTCGTAGCCCGACTGCTCTTGCTGCTGGCGGAGCGGACATCCAGCGGGCGAGTTCTCGGGATAGGGGACGACATACGTCTTGGGTCGAAGCGCATCTTGCGTGTTGAGTCGTCTCTGTCGATCCGCGTTTGCCTGGCTTTGATCTTCATCGACCTCCTCTGCAAGGCTTGGGCTCGGGCGATGCAAATTTTCTGGCAAGGGAGGCTCCCAATGCCTCTCAGCATCGAAGTTCTCAGCGTCCTCATCGTCACTGAAATCGTCCTCGAGATCGGGCATACCGTCAAGACTCTCCAGCAGATTGTCCTCGAGATCCCAGTCTTGAGGGGACCGCTGCCCAGTGTCGGAGGCCCCTTGCGATGGTAGATCATCGTCCACGTTCATGGTGTCGGCTTCGGGGTTGTACTCATCGAAGTCGTCCCAATCGTAGTCGGAATAGTGGTTCTGGTCGCCTAAGACATCGCCTTCAAACCGGACAGGGCCTTCGTTGGTACCCTCTTCAGCAGTGTTGTCGTTGTCCATCTGAGTATCGTCATCGTCGACAGCATTAGCTGTATTGGTACCGTGTTCTTCATCCTGACTGACGTCGCTTCGGCGCAACTGATCCCTTATTGCCGCACATACCGGTCGGGTCGTCCATCGGATATGCATGCGGTAGCCGCTACCGCTGAAAAGCTTTTGACATCCTTCACAGAGTGTGTCTGCAACAGGCGGAGGCATTGAGGGATGTTGGGGTTGCGGGGGTGATGAGCAAGGCGGGAAGGTGGGGGGCGGTAGCACAAAGTGTGCGCAGGGGTCGAAGCAGCAAGCTAGGCCAGGGGCGGGTGACCTGGTGAAGCGGCTGAAGCCGGCGGGTTGATCTCGGTCAGTCTCAGTCTCAGACTCCCTTTGCCAGCTCACCTCCACTCCCCACTGTTGCCTCTCATTCTCCACACATTCCTTTAATATTCACTCCTTATTCTCCTTTTTTCTGCCCGCTATCAAGTTCCCGTCAGCACCATGCCCAAGCATTCTCGGAAAAACGCCAGTGGCTCCGAAGACAACGAAGCTACACATACCTCGACACAGCCAGCATCCAAGAAGGAACTTCGTACGTCCCTGAGAACGACTGTGCCAGTCAGTTTTCGGCGCACGTATTTTTAACTGCAGCATTTGACAGCCCCTCGTAAATCGAAGACTGCAGTCCTCAATAACCCGCGTAAGCTCACCTGTTTATTCAGACACCCGTACTAATCCTTTCGTTGTCTCTACAGCGTGGAAACAAGATGCCTCACAGAAGTCAGCCCCTGCTCGTTCTTCTGCCAGTAAAGCTCGGCTGTCAGACATCTCGCCAAAGAAGAGACGTGTTCGACATGACGCACCAGCTATCAATCTGCACAGCGACAACGATGAGGGTTTCGGAGCAAAGGGAACTGCTCATAGAAAGCCATCTTCGCGGTCTTCTCGGAGTGGGGCCGCGGCAAACCCACCAGATTGCCCCACAATCACTGAAGGACTCGCTTATAAGTGTGACATAAATCCCTGATGTATTCGCTTATTTGCCCTCATTTGAGCTGGTGTTCAGTTACTGATGTTCTTGCTCATTTGAGCCATTCATCAGTTCTTGATAGATCTACTCATTTGAGACGCTCCTCAGTTGGCAGTACCTTTGTTCAAATGAGACCCATACACATTTTGATATAGCAAGGCTTGTATCAAATGCTAATGCTTCTTGATCATTTGAGCTAAGCTGGTAACTGACTGATTGGCTTGATTGAGCTACACTATTTATTGAGACTACTAGTCATTTGAGCTAACCTAGTCACTGACTGCTTGGCTTGATTGAGCTAAGTCAGTCACTGATTGCCTGGCTTAATTGAGCTAAGCTGGTTGCTGGTTGCCTGGCTTAATTGAGCTAAGCTGGTTGCCGAATGCCTGGCTTGATTGAGTTGTTCCTGTTTCTGATGGCTGACCTTGATTGAGCTGTTCTAGTTTCTGATGGCCTCGCCTTGGTTGAGCTTCTATGATCACTGGGAGGTTAGCTTGTTTGAGACTCTCTAGTTGCTGAAACACTAGTGATTTTTCAACAACTTCTATAGCCACCTGGTCGTGAGAAAACCTTGTGCCTGTAGTTAAAACCATGGGTCCATCATTTTTCACAGGTCTCTTTCACTTCACACTCTACTCTCACAGACAGATCGATACTCTTCCTTACTAGGTTTTCTGTCATGCCTACTCTTTTATCCTTCTTTCATGGATGCACCATTAGTATGGTTGGTGTCGTTGTCTCTGTATGTGTTATGTTCATCACACTATATCAATTTGCTGAGTTACTCTCATAGATTGATGAGGACAAGGACATCATGTATGTCAATACTGGACCAGTGGTTGGTCTGAATTGGGTGGAGAGGAATGAGGAGGCCTTTTTAAGTTCGATGAAGTTGGTGAATAAACCTTCTCCTGTGGAGTTGCTAGATGTGAGTTTCTTAGTGCAGAAGTGTTGCCCCTTTACTGATCCTTGAATAATTCTTAGGACATCTTCTATGAGGTTGGAAACAAAGTCTTTATAAGAGGCATCATTGGAGAAGATGGCATTTTACATGCTGAAAAAGATGAACTCTGTAAAGATGGTCAGAGCTTCCTAAATTCATATTGATCTTTCTCCTTACTGACTGCTCTATTTATAGATTCTGCTTTGAAGGCAGTCATTTTTAACCATGGTTTATGAATAAAGTACAGCTATTGTGCCTCTTCTGATTAGTCAGAACTTCCCAATGTTTCAAAATATGTTTCAACTTGATTCAAGAGCTATTGCACAGTCAAACATATTGTAGCCCCAGGCAATCAGAAACATGCCTTGAAAAAGTCTCTCAAGTGAAGTTTTTTTTTCCGAGAGAACAAAGGCACAGAAAGACAGATATACGTTTTTTTTAAGGGGGGGGGGGGGGGAAGAAATATGGGGAAAAGTGAAAATTTGACAAACTTTTGGCTCACAAAAATATGAAAGGTTTAGGGGCAGAAAAATAGAAGGCAGATCTTCAGTATTTTCTTACATTGATAATAAGTCCAAAAAAGTCTCAGGACAGAAATGATGTTTTCTTGTAGAGAAAATGAGATGTTCTTACATAGTTGAGGCTTAGAACTGCTCTCTCATAGAAGAGACCAACTAAGAAACTAGTGTTGATCTTTTGCAAGATTCTTTTGAGAGAAACATTGAAAAATGTTTTTGTCCCTTCATCAGTGCATTGTTGTGTGAACTGCCTAGAGGCTCTTTTTTTTATTATACCAAGGCCAAGGGTGATCATGGTAAATGATTGTAGTTCAGTTTGGGAAACCAAAAGAGTTTTAGTAGGCTTTTCATTGAAAGTCTTCTGGACTAACATTGAGAGGCATCAATTTTGGGGACCACTATTTGAACATAAAGACGGAAAGTAGAATTAGGAAGGCCTTCTCAGATTTATTAAAAACATAGACATGGTTGATTCAAGTCAACTATCTAAAGCTGATAATGAGGGCATTTCTGAACAAAGTCTCTATGTGCATTCTCGGCAAGCTTCTCCCAAGTAGCTGCCTGACCATAAGCATATACTTGATGTCCATGAAGTCCCTCATCATCCAGTCTGGTAAGCTGTGCCCTAGACTTCCACTCCTCAGCCTTATTCTTATGGGATCTGACAGTGCATGCCATCTCGAAAGGCACCCACAAGAGCTCCTCTTCCCATCTGCATTTTCGTTCATAGGCTCTAAGCCACATAGACTTTTTGACTTCACTTTGGTTAGTAAAGATCCAAAACTTTATAAAATACTCCACTTACTTGATTGAACAAAACTAGCTCTTTCCTCTATCCCACCAGAAAAACTCCAGATCCAAGAACCATGTTCATTTCTTAGTCCTGAAGTAGATGGTTCCATCAATACAGGGTTGGCCTTCAGGTCTTGACTTGTCAGTTCAGGATATAAATCCATTCTTGCACTATGGGCCTTTGTATCTTCTTCATCCTCTTTGTCATATAGGTTGAATAAAGATTGTCTAGCTCCAGTGTAGAACCGAACATGCCTCATAAGCGCTTCACTTGCCACTTGAACATCTTTTTGAGATCTCAGCCTAGTTCTGTAGGATGATGGATTTTTGACCCTTCCTTGATAGAGATAGGTTCTTGCCACTATTCCCTCTCTAATAGCTGTGATGCAGTCATTCATCTCGGCTACTCTGAGCTTGATTTCCTTTTGAACCAAATCTACCCGTTGGATTTTCTTCATGTACGGAAAACCTAAGGTAGAGGGCATAGCAGCAGGCTGTTTCTCTGGATTCCATGGCTCTTCTGAGATTGTTGTGAGGTTGCTGTGGTTGGGGATTTCCTGTTGTCCTAAAAGCTCATCCTGTGCTATTTCTTCCTCATCATCATCCCAAGCTTCTCCAAGACTTGACACCCCTGGTAGGCTTTCAAGAATTTGATACCCTTCCAGGTTGTAACGAGAAAAGCCTTTGAGATTGAAGTCTTTAAGATCTGATTGAAGTCTTTGTCTTTTCTGAGCGAGATTAAGCTTTGCCTTGTCAGAAGGATTGGGACCAAGTTTCCTAGCACAATGAGCCACTTCTAGTCTGCAAAGGAACTTTTATTAGAGGTTCAGAAAAACAGAAATATAGTAGTTTGTTTTCCAAGAGAGCTTCTTATGTTCAAAGAGACTTATGAAGAAATGGTTGTTTATAATAGCCTTAGGCTAGTTCAAGCAACCACCTTTGAATACCAACCAAAAGATGTTGATAAACTTACCTTCTATGTTCAATGAGTATTCCTTCTGAAAGCCATGAGGCATCAGGGGAGGAAACAGCTTGAACATCACCCCTTGCTGAGGCCTTCCCTTCAGCTAGAATCATGTGGTGAGCAGTCTCCTTCAGAGTTGGAACTAAATAAAAATCAGACTTTTGAATTAGATTAGAAGTCTAGTGACTCACGAAGTGCTTCCTCAGCATTAAAGATATCCATGCTTTCAGAGCTCTCATTTAATTCCCTCTGTCTATGAGCTTCTTCAGCCTCTTTCTGCCAGTCCTTCCTTTCAGCTTCTGTAGCTCCTTTGTTGAACCTTTCGAAGGCCTCATTTGCTGCCTTGGACTCTATGATAGCCCTTTTCCATTTCCCAATAAGGGTGTCAGCTACAAAGGATTTTCATCATCAGTTTATATAAAACTTTAAGGATGTTGAAACTTACGCATTTTGAGTAACTTCTTCCAGTTCCAATCTGTCATGTTATCATCTAGAACCTCATGTCGATGGGAGTCTGTCATTCCTCTCGTGCTATCCTTAATAGCGTTGACAGCATCTGGCCATAAGGTTTCCATGGTTTCACCATCTTGAGCACCAGCATGTTTGACAAAGTTGAGAGAAAACCTGGAGAAGCACTTGTTTATATGCCCATGTACATGGAACTGTCCAATAGACCACAGAAACCTTGCAGTTTCAGGGAGGTATATTTCGGAGTACTGATTGAACCTTTTGCGCATATTGATGTGATATTGACAGACAATGTCATAGATGAGAATGAAGAGAGCAACTCCAGGGAAGGCCTGAAAAGCCCAAAATAGACAGTAGTCCATGTTCCTTTGGCTTCAATACAGTATATTAACGGCACAGTTCAAAAAGAGCAAAATATAAACCCACGCTTCTCCTAATTGAAGATCCACACATGTGTGAGGGAGAAATATGCCATGTCTTGAACATGCAGCAGCACCTATGCCTGTAACATCCAGATGGCTCTTAGATTTTGAACCATGATTGTTTTGAGCAGCCTTATGGTTGTTGCATGTAACCTTGATAGTCTGTTTGAATATAATCTTTAGAAGCTTACAAAACAAACCTCAAGCCTAGACCAACCTCTATAGTATTTTTGGAAGCATCAACCAGATGTTTCTTGTAAGGTTGATCAGCAACTGTAATAAGATGACCCTCTGCCAAAGGCACATTATTCCCAGAGTCTTTCATTCTAGTGTGCTGGGCTGAAAAAGAGGCATCTGTAACAATTCCTATAGGGAAGTTTTTCCTTTATGAAGTCAGTTCAAAGCTTTGGTCAGAAAGAGAGCCCCAGCTACCTTTGGCTCTCAGAAGTCCATTTCTCTAGGGTATTAACTCCAATGAATGGACATGTTGGGCATCTTAAAGCTAAAGACCCTGGCTGGATGGTCCGTCTTGATAGGCCACCCCTCCATACATTCTCCACTTGAGCACTCTATACTGTCTTGTAACTCTCAAAAAGGACT